TCCGGCCGAAGTACAAAGCTTCCTAAAAGAACTAAAGTGAGTAATATTAACAAGTGAATGATCACCACACCTCTCATTCATATAGACGTTACTACAGATAAAGTCCCAAATAGAAAGAAACGGAATCATTTAGAACTGAATCTGAATTGCTTAACTTGAATAATCATAAGAAAACTGAAATGAAAGTACAAAAAAAGTTGAATTTTTAGCGAGGCTCAAAATACAGTTTCAGTTGCAAGTGAATTCAGATTCAATATATTCAGTTTCAAGTTGGAATTCAGTTTCAAACTAATAAATTCAATTGTTAGGTTCCCTTCCCCCCTTCCCAGACCTGTTCCAGTGTACAAACTGCTACATGTGGCAAACCATTTCCCAGCAGTTGCCAGGCCACCATTGTTGTTAAAGAAAGTTAACTACCTAATGTTGTATTGTTATTGGGGTTCTATTAGGCAGTTTTTTTGTTTTTTGTTTTTTGTTTTGGGGTTTTGTATGGTTTCTCATTAAAACTAAGGTTTTTTCATTCACAAATGTAAATATCAATACCACTTTCTGGTCCAGGTCGAGTCCCACCACTGATGTTTTACATGTTTAAAGTGGGAATTTATTCAGACATTTCCTAAGTTGTTTCGTATAATATATATCCTGCTGAAATCTTCACTTATAAACTTTACATAATATTATGGTTCAATTGACCTGCATTTCATGGAATATTAGAGGGGTCACTCGCCAATTAAGAGGAAAAAAATACTTACATATTTTAAAGAGACAGACTGTAGATATCACCTTTATTCAAGAGAGCCATCTCACCGATGCAGAGCGTATAAAACTGCCTAAGGACTGGGTGGGAAATGTTTTCTGATGTTCCTATTCTTTTAAGGCAAGAGGTTTAGCCTTACTTATTAATACAAATGTAAAAAATATATATATATATATAAAAAAAAAAATTCAATTAAAAGATAGAGATGGTAGATTTCTGCTGGTAGATTGCTTAATAAATATGAAGTAACCTTGGTTAATGTATATGGTCCCAACTACGACCACTCAATATTCTTCAATAATCTGTTTTTTAAGCTTGCCACGGTTGAGGGTCAGTGTATTGTAGGTGGTGACTTTAATTTAGTTTTAAAACCTCTAATAGATTGTTCATCACCCAAATCAGCCTCTCTATCACTAGCACTAAATCAAGGTATGAAAGACATAGGTATAACTGAAGTATGGTGAGCCTGTCATCTACACCAAAGGGATTTCTCTTGCTATTTGGGAACACATAATACATATTCTGTTTTGTGTTCTTTAAAATGTTCTTAGTTTGACAAGATATGATGTCTTTATCAGCAAATGTTTAAGAAACACCTTTTTTTTTTTTATCCTGACTTTGACCAGAGTGATTTATCTAAGTGAAGTATCTAACCTGTTAATCTAAAGGAGCAACCCCTAGTGACTAACCACTAAACAAAGCATGTTAAGAAAACTTGCTTTGTAGCCTTATACTTTGACCCATTTGAAAGAAACCTGTAGATTTGTGCTTTAAGTGCTATAAAGGAAACGAGGAACTCCACAGTGGATATTAAAGGAGGGAGGATTGTTGTGACACTGGGGTGTCAGGTGTGACTGTATGAAGGTATGACTGTATGAAGGTAAGAAGAGGTAGGACAGCCTCTGGGCAGAAAGTAGCTTACGGCGCCATAACTGCTCTTAAAATGTACCAGGACCACATTCTGTCACTGTGAGCCCGCCATGTACCCTGAGGGGGTTTCAGAGACACTGATGTGGCTCCACCTGTAGTTTTCTGTCAAACAGGTTATTCAAAGCAGAAGGTTGTTTCCTCCAACCTTCTTTTATTTATTATTCATTTTCAATTCCATTTTTTCTTTAATCTCTCAAAGGCATACAGGAAAGGGTCAAACCCAAATACAACTTTAAAACTACTGTACACATAACTCCAATCTGCAGAATAAATCCAGATTATTTTTCACTTCCACACATACATATGAAAATAGCAGAGTAAAGTGGGACATATAAAGGTTGTACGTGTAGTAGCAGTGGATATAAATGAATAATTGGATCTGAAGATCAGGCTTCATTGATCCTCAGAGGAGAAATGTTGGTGTGGCAGCAGCACAGGGACACAAATAAGTCCAGATAAATAGAGAAAAGTATAAAACAAATAATGATGCTGGAAGTTAGAGTCGGGGCTGCTGAGATGACGTCATATTAAAGCTAGGGTAGTGACCGTAAAGGAACCTGAGCGGCTTTCAGTGACTGAGGCAGCAGGCAGCAAGACTCACTGTCCAAGAGCTCATTGATCTGTTCACTGGACATTAATGGGTTAACAACAGTCACTTACTAATTTTGCAAATAATTACTGAGACAAGTACAATTACATAACAAACGAACAAAGGTCATAAAAAGCCAGTTTGGGGAGTGAAAACTTCTTGAGAATGTAAAACTTCTCTGTTCAGGGGTGTAATGCAGAAGAACCTGTAGTGAGACAGATAACGACACACAGCAGGGACCAGCCCAAGAGCTGAAACATCCAGAAGGGTTCAACACCAACCTCCATCTGCAAAGCTTTATCTCCCTGCTGCTCCAGCCAACCTCCAGACGGTAAGACAAGCTCCTCTCTCTGCCTGGCTTCATTGGGGCAGTGCTTAATTTTTACGGAAAAAAACTGCACGACCTATTAAGATGATTTGGAAAAGAATGGTCAGTTAAGAAAATATACTTAGAATGATCAATTCTCCACAGCTTATTTCTGATCTGTTAGCTCCTTATTAGGACTGAAGACAAAGCTTTGCTCCAAAACAGTAATTAAATAGTGTCAGATCAGTTAGTGACTAATTTTACAAAGTTTTTCAAAAGCTACCTGTATGGTAGACATTTGTATAATTCACGTTCAGATTTATTTTGTTTCAATTTTGATAATTTAATCTTATATCTTATATCTTATATTTTATGGTAAAGCCGTTAACCACTTAGGCTGAGAATGCTAGCAAGTCAGAAAGTTAAAGTTAAGTTAAATAACGCTCCAAAGTTAGACTAAAGTTTGGCGATGTAAAAACGGGCTCGGCCATTTTCAAACCTTTTGACCTCTTACCTCAAAAAGAGACCTTAAGAATGAAAATATGTTCAATGGGTACCTATGAGTCTCCGCTTTGCAGACATGCCCACTTTATGCTAATCCTATGCAGTTTTGTGCAAAAACAATGCAGTTTTTTGCATGTGGTATATATGTGTTACTCCTATGTGTATTTGAATATTTCTGAATAAACACTATTGGAACTGCAGAAATTTGGAATGACTGGAAAGCTAAGACACATACTTCATGCTACCCCTGTATAAGTCAGTCCCCCTGCACCAACAACATACGGTCGAATTCAAATTCTTTTATGTTTTGGGTTTTTGTAACTGACTATCCTGTGTTTGCTGTGTTTCCATACCTTAGGGGACACTCCCTCAAATACAAAAACACACGGCAAACACGTTCTGTTAAATCTGTATAATTATTCTCACTGCCTGAGGGCAGTTTTGCCAGAAGGGGTTTTGAAGTGGAGGAGGAGCATTCAGTTTTTTCCTTTCAAACTCAGCTTAGACTACAGTTGTTGTACAACTAAAGTATGGTGAGAAATCAGTGACGTCCATCCTCTGTAGGCCCTCAGTCTCTGGTTTGTTGTACAGTTTCATGATGCTGTGATTATCCTCAAGGTCTCAATAGCTCATTTTATACTACAATGAAATGGCTACTATGGGGATGAAGTTAATCACACATGAATAACACAGACCCTTTTCACAGGAGACACTTTGACTTGTCAAAGCAGAAAAAAACAGGCAGAATTTGTAACATTACTGATGGCTGCATTCCATTCACTGCTCTGGCTTTGTGCATGCTCACTTACTGACAGGGCTTACCGGGGCACTTAAAGTTATAATATGTAATCCCTCCAGGAAGTTGCGATGTTGCAATAGCAACAATTAACGCAAATTCAACCAATTTGTGTGAATTCTTGCAATCCTGTCCTACAACGGCAACTTAAAATTTGGCCAATCATTGAAGTTTTCTACGCACCAAACTCACTTCTTTCTTTCTAGTTGTGAAGATGCAGACTTGTGCGACGCCTTCTGCAATTTTCACTTTTCTCCCACAATTTCATGCAAAAGAATCTGTAAAATCATCACAACACAGCAGAATTGTTTTTAGAAAAGCTGCCATGAATTCAGGCATTTGAAGCCGCTATAAATAAAAGCCTTAAATCCTGGCAGGACTGCCACTAGTCCTAAAACTGGTGTGGTGTGACAGTGATTTGCTTTTATTTAAAAACAAACTAGTCTTACCAGTTGCTGTCATAATAAGATGTTCTGTTTTGTTTTTTCACTGCAGAGTTTTAAGTATGACAAACGTCAAAGCAGCAACCTTTTTCTTGCTGACAGCAGCTCTTGGTCTGTTGATCCTCCATCTCTGTAAAAGTTTTCTTGACCATGAAATGATCCACCTGCACTATGTAAATGTGAGAGACGGTGATGGTCCAACAAGAGAGCACGTCAAAAACAACTCCTATGTATTCTCCTGGCCAAGATGTCAACAAAATATGTCTGCTGCCAACATAACAGGCTTCAGCTCTCTTCCTGATTACATTAAAGACTTTCTCTACCATCAGCACTGTCGCCATTTCCCCGTTCGACTGGACATTCCTGACAAATGTGGAGGAGCTGATAAATCAGCAGATGTCTTCCTTCTGCTGGTCATTAAAAGTTCCCCCAGGAACTACGACCGTCGAGAGGTGCTGCGGAAAACCTGGGCCAAAGAGAGGTTACAAAACGGTATGTGGATCCGAAGGATTTTCATCTCAGGAACAACAGATTCTGGTTTTGAGAAAAAGAGGCTGAACGAACTCCTCAAGCTGGAGCACCGTGAGCACAATGACATCCTCCAGTGGGACTTTAATGACACGTTCTACAACCTCACCTTGAAGCAGATACTCTTCCTGGAATGGATGGAAAGAAACTGTCCCAACGCTCGATTCCTGATGAATGGTGACGATGATGTCTTTGCTAACACAGACAACATGGTCGAGTATCTCCAAGGCCTCAAGGATAATAATGGAAGCAAACACCTCTTTACTGGCCATCTCATCCAGAATGTGGGGCCCATCAGATCATCAGGGAGCAAGTATTTTATCCCAGTTCAGATACAGGAGTCAGAATCATATCCCCCCTACTGTGGTGGTGGGGGCTTCCTGTTGTCTGGCTATACAGCTTCGGTCATATACAGTATGTCTCATTCCATTACCATTCTTCCCATTGATGATGTTTACATGGGGATGTGTCTGGCCAAAGCCGGACTTGGTCCTGAATCCCATATGGGTGTGAAGACAGCAGGATTGTACATTCCCTCCAGGAAACATGATGAATATGACCCTTGCTTTTATAAAGAAGTTATACTGGTACACAGATTCCTTTCAGCTAACATGTTTCTTATGTGGCAGAGAATACACGACCCTGATCTCAAATGTGGTTCCAAAACTGTGACTCACAGGTGATGACAGAGCTTGTTGACACTTTGGTTCCTGCTTCCTTAGGTTGTGAGTACACGTTTTTCTACCACTGTTCAGCTGTTCAACTTGTTTTATTCCTAAAGTCATCAATGTGTGCCAGCAACCAGACAGACACAGAATGGTCTTGGAAGTAGGTAGTGCTGACAAACATTACTTTTGTATATATTGCAAAACTTGCTTTGCCGATGTATTTGTTTTTTTATGGCTAATGTGTTGATGTGCCTGCTTATCCATTTGGCAGACATGGAGCATTATTATCGTATCACTGGCCCCTGACGAAATGTATGTCCAATATTTACTGGCCCTCAACTGCTGGGAAAAAAATAAATGTTGTCTTCGCCAAATGCTATACTTTTATTTATCAGTTCATCTGATATTTGTTGCTGTGCAGTTGGTTTGTTGGAGCTTGATTGCTAAAAAAAGCTACTTACTGTAGTTTCCGGTATATATGTTTTTGCATTTGACCTCAAATTAAAGACACTGAACTGGAAGCTGATGGTGCAATTTTTGTTCTATTTATTTTCTCACACTGATGGACTTTTATATTTTATCTTATTTTATGTAGTGTATTGACTGTTTTCTGTCTACCTGCCCAGGGATAACAGATGTGAAATAGCTGTTAGTTAACTCTGGTGCAATTACTTTTCATTGCGTGCTTTTTATGCAAAAAAATAAAATAAAACAAAAATGTTTACAAGAGATGGTGTTTATATATGCTTTCATGAGGGGAATTAACACAAGTGTATTCTGGACTGGGCTATAGACAAAGCCATATGGCACATTTCCATGCAAATTCAGAGAGCTGACACTCACTAACTGCATCAGTGTATTTTGTCATACCTGTAATCTGGTATTATGTTTAGTTCAATATAGAGAAGAACGACTCTGTAATAATATTTGAAAGTAACAATATAATAAATGCGCTTTCAGGTGACAATCATGTTTGATACGTTGAGATAAAAACTGTATGCCAGACCCAGCTTTTGTTCCAGAGATATGTATTCTTTATGCTCAGGAAGAAAAATAAAATGATGTCAGAGGGGGTTATGAATACTTAAAAAAAAATTACATTACTGTATACTGTACATAAATAGTTACTTCCAGAGTGAACACAATGCACAGTGTGGCAGTGACTCTCCACCATGTTAGAGACTCTCTTCTTGGCTGCTCAGGCGCGACTTCGCTCCGATCATTCCGGATACACGAACCTTCTCATGAAGACACGTGGAGGACGAGAGGAAGAAGGAGAGAGAGTAGAGAGAAAAAAGACGAAGAACTGGAGTTTATTGAGAGTTATAAGGTCAGTCAGAGGCTGAACGGCCACACAAACAAATAAACAAACAAACAGTGTCGCTGTCTGTCTGTACAGTTGGTGAATATAAAGCAAACAATCGGTCAAACTCCAGTTACATTAAGGTGAACATGAGAGCTTATTGTGAGAATGAACATGGTGTTTTAACTGTTGTTGTTGTTTTCCTGCTGTTTATTGTCAGAGGAATCAACGCACCTGTTGATGAGCATTCAGTGAAAGCGACAAGCAAACAGCCTCTGAACAAAAAAATAACAGAGTGGCGGAAGATTGTGATCATGAAGCTGCTGCAGTTCATTAGCTGCTGGTTGTCGCTGTAATTGAAGCATAAGATCTACTGACTGATTATTATTGATTATTGGCTGATTGATTGATTGATTCTGTATCTGACAGAAACATAGTTGGAAAGTGGAGTTTGTCTTTAATCTTGAGACAATTCACAGGATACAACAAATGTCACAATATCTGTTTGGTTTTAGTGTTTAAAAGCTGTTTTTTATATGATACAATTGGTCACAAAGTATTATTATTCCAATAATTGTACAGATTGCAGACCCCGATGTCACCTTCAGGAACAGAAATCCAAACACGTAATTTAGTGTTTCCTATAAACACTAAATGGTGAACATCAATGTTAAATTAATCAAATTAATTCATCAGAAGATGATCATATGTTTTAGATAATTCAAACTTAAATTAAATGAAGAATAAGATCATTTATGAGTGCAAATATCCAGTTTTTTATTTCATACAACAGGGTTGGTTTGAATGTTTGCACCATTGTTCAAAATGAATAATTTGGGTCATAAATAGAGAGTGTATCCACTTCTTCAGGCGCCACTACACCACTGACTGTGTGTCAGTCTTTAGGTTGTGGGTTTGATCCTCAGCTGATGCTGAATTGTCTGACAATCTTTAAAATTTCAAACTCAAAATTTAAACATTTGAGTAAAATTTCAGATGTTCATGTTTATTCATTCCATAATCCTCTGTTTCTAATCCCGATCAGCCCAGAACCAGGCAGAGGTAGACTTACTAACTGGTGCTGGTCAGCTGGAGCGGACTGCACTCATAGCTGCAGAGTCTACAAGGATTCACCGGCTGAGTTGACTGTTTGGGGGAAGGGACACTGCAGCTGCTGTGTCGGCCACTGGAGGGCGCTCTGGCATTGTTGACTTCAGGAGGACTGCTGCAACTATGGAAGAGTCTTCAGGTTGGTCCACTTTCCAGTTGTAATGTTGGTGAACACAGTTTATTTATCTTTCATATCACTACTAGTGTATATTCTGTAAACACATAAATGACACAATGATCCAAAATGCAATTCACCTGCATGTATAAAACTCTTTAATTCATGAATAAAAAATATTAAATGTACATTAATATTCAATAAATAACTCCACTCTGTTCCTTTCTAGTCAAGAGTTCTGAGTTAAGTTAACATTTATCAGTAATCAACAATAAGTAATGAACTGCTTTAATATGAATTCATGTTAAGTGTTGCAGTTCTTCACTCTGACCACTGGAGGGCGCTCTTCATTGAACTGAACTCTATTATATTATTAGATTTTAATTCTCACATTTATCTTTTACAGAGAAACATAAACATTTACATACAACATGTTCAACATGAATTTCTGTCTGAAACGTGAGGAAGTAGCTAAATGTTCAAAATATTTCAGCTGGAAGATTGTAATTGAATTTTTACATTTGTTGCAACATAGCAGAAGATTAATAAGGATATAAATAAATATATCATTACATATTCATCTCTTTCACCTACTTAGGTTACTTATGTTAGTTCAGAATAAAAAAAGCTTTATACTAAATCAAGAAAGCTGTAAACATATTCCTGAATGACGACTACCCAGACATATCAATCATTTATTAGCTATAATATACAATAATATATATGTTATATATATTTTCTAACATGTGTCTGTATTTCATTATCCTCCACTGATATCCAGTTGGAGGAAGAGGATCACCTGGAGCCCCAGTCTGGACCAGGAGGACCCACCAGAGTTCAGCACTGATCTATTCAAACCTGTGGTCCCTGTAGTTCTGCTCTTTATGATCAGTATGTCTCACTGTTTATTTTATGTCTTCAACAAACGTATATAAGTGTGAATACCTTGTTGTGTGAGCTGTATTTTACTGAAGATGGTTGCTTTTATCCACTAACATTATTCACATTTCAATGGATTCTTCTGGAAGACCTATTTTAAAGACACACTCACATTTAATTCTGGATCATATGACTATTTTATTTCATACAGCAAGGTTGGTTTGGATGTGTGCACCATGGTTCAACTGGAAATCTAATGCAACTTAAAGTAGTGATGATTTATTGTGTGTTTGATGGTTGCAGGAGGACTGCTGCTGGCACATTCTGTGGAAACTACAGGTTATAATTGAGTTTGGAGGCTGAGCTGCTTGAATCAATGTGTTTATCTAGAGATTAGTCTAATATCAGTACGTAGCTAGCAAAGGTAACGAACATATTTCACATTAATAACCCCTCGTTTAATGCATTCAAATAAATCGCTGTCTGTCTCCGTTGTTTTACTTTGAAAGGTTTTACCAGAAACATGTGTATGGTGTTGTGTCTGTCTTTACACTGCTGGAGCTGATCGCTGACACGAGTGTATTTAGAAACATGTTTGCTGCCATCCAGTGGTCATAATCAGGAACTACAACACCACAATAAATCTGTGGTTTACTACAAAGATTCAAGGTTATTTTATTTATACTTATATAGAATATATATTGATTGCTTCGAGTTCATTCACGCCTGACCTCTGATCATTTACATTCAGAGGTTCAGAGAGGCTAACTCTGTGGTATGTGTGTGTGTGCCTGTAGGGGGACTGGGATCAAGGTAAACACTGTAGTTGTGCCAAAATTGAAAGTAGAGGGTTAGCAAAAATGTGCAACTTGTGTGAATGATCAGACGGCGTTAACACTTTTTTTTAATATCAATTTCTGATGTAAATAAGTCCCAAATGGTCAACTCTATGTCAGCATTGGCCTTTCAAGATCCAGGGTGATTTAAAACGGTAGAAAGCATGTAAAGCCATTTTCAACCCACAAAATGCAGATTTTCATAAATTTGATAAGAATGCCAATTTTAACACCATTTTATTAGTCATATAATTTAGTTAACTATTAAAAAAATTTGAGTACGCGAGTACCTCTTTAGTTATACAAAACATACATTCAGTGAAACTGGAGACTTTCAGGAATTACTCAATTTAGATTGTGAATAAAAAAACTTTAAACATTTTTAATTTTATTAAAAATGCATGTATCTGACCTCCC